GGGGCCCCCACGGTGGCCTGGCTGCCCCTGGAGAGCACCACAGCCATCAGGAGCCAAATCCCACGGCTCCTGCTGCCCCACACCGTGACTGTCCCCATGTGCTGTCCCCACCAGGCTAAATCCCAGCCCATGCCCAGGGGATCAGCCTTGCAGAGATTTCCCAGCAGGGCACAGCCCTGGGGTCCCCTCCTGATGGAGCCTGGACACAGCCCCCCGCTCCCCGGGCTGGCTTGGGGAGCCCAAGGTGGGGGGACTAGCAGCCAACACCAGGATACCAATGCTCAGGAGCTACCAGTGCTCAAGCACAGCCCTCACCTGAGGCCCTGGCACACGTGAAGGGGGAGCCACCACTTGACCCCCGAGCAGATGCTCCAATGACACCACTCTGAGCTTCTCCATCCCAGCAAGACCCTCCTCCACCCCAAGCCTGGCCCAGGTGGCTCCCCCATCCCAAGGGACCCAGCCCAGGGACGTACAGCCACTGGATGTTGTTCTTGGACTTCTTGGTGATGAGCTGGATGCCCTCTAGGACATTTGTGATGTCGTAGATGCGCCTCTTCTGCACCTTCAGGACCTCAGCTGCCCAGTTGAGGTCTACCACGCCATCGGGCGACTGGCTCAGCAGCTCCAGGAAGCGCTTGGTGGTGAGGTTCAGCGAGGTTTCATAGCGGGACTTCTCCCCGGGAGACTTTGCCCCTGCCAGCCACCGAGAACAACCGTGATTTAGCCACAAGGGAAACCCAACACTGGAGCAGAGGCCCCAAAACATCCCCCCACGCATGCAGGTAGATCATGGACCAGGGACCGGGACTGGCAGCCCCAAATCCCTTTGCTTTCTTGGGGAAATGGGGTAAGCTCCCCACATCCTCCATGGGAAGGATGCTGCAGGACCTGGCGTGGGCTCTGACACCCATGCTGTTGTAACCACAAGCTCAGCTGTGACACCAAGGCAGGGCCCAGAGGGTAGATGATGGAGGGTCCAGGTGAGCCCACCTGGGATGCTGCACCGGCAGCTACTGTGTTGGCAGCTACAGCCCCATCCCACAGGGAGGGATGGAGCCAGTGCAGTGCCCAGCAGATGGGCAGGACAACTGTGCCACCAGCCTAGGGGACAGCAGCAGGGGCTGCAGAGCAAGTGGCCAGGAACAGCCCAGCTACA